AAATAATAATAATAATAATAACAATAATAAAAAAAAACTATTTAAAAAAAGAGTCATTTTCTGCCCCTCCTGAGACAACAGCCTGGAGGCGAGGCTTGTCCTTGGTATAAGAAAATCTCAGGCCTTTACTTTATAATTTGCCGAAAGTATGTATTATTCTGAGCTTAATTGGAAAGCCAAAGGCATCGCCTCTTAGAGTAAGTAGTCCCTGAACAAACTTCCAAATCTATCCTTACTCTCGGCTCTAGGCCCGGCCGATGGCCAGGTCCCTGCCACGGCCCAGCTCACCTGCTTGTGTCCTGACATCTGCCTGGATCGTCCCGCCCAAGCTTGGGGAGCTGGTGAGCCCGTGAGCTGGGCCGAAGCCAGAAGGCGGGCTCCAGGGAGGGCAGAGCAACGTGGCCCCCCGCTCACGGCTGACGGTTTTCCTTCAGCAGGCACTGTTACTCGCTCTGGCTTGTACCAGCTCCTGGGTGGCGTGAGTGAGTGAGCGAGGCAGGAAGGAAGGGCGGGGGGGGAAGGACCCGGCAGGCGGGCTGGGGCCAGCACCCCCGAAGTGTGGCGGCCGTGGCTACGCCGGTGTCTCCAGAGACACATGAAGCGGCCAGGAAACCTCCCAGCCGCCCTGCTTTTCCTGCAGTAGTCAGGCCCAGGAAGGGGCAGAACCTCACTGGACACTGTGCCCTTTTCTCTGACACTCAGCTACAATTCCACTGGAGCAAGGAGAGCAGGGCAAAAGATTCCAATTTCAGGGAATCCCTTTCCGCCTCTGCACCCCTGGACAGGCGCTGGTCACCCCTCCCTTGGGGTACAACTGACTGTCACCCATCTACAGATATGTTTTGAGTACCTACTATACACGGACCATATACTATACGCGTCCCATTAAGGTTGCTGGAGATAGGGACATTCCTGCATTTGGGGGGGCTCTCACTTCAAAAGGTAACTGAGGAATGTCTCTTATGATAAGCCTATTATATGGCTATTTCCCCATCTGGACTGCGGGTTCACGGAGAGAAGGAACAGATGCAATTCACCTCTAGATTCTCCGGGGTGCCAAGTGCAGACCCTGACACTGATGCTAGTTTTAGAGCCACCAGCCGGACTTGTCCCCAGTCCAGGAGCGCCTTTCCCTGGCGTGCAGGCCCTGGTGGTACCTACGGACAAGGAGGGGCCGGCGAAGGGGGGGACAACAGCAGCTCCATTTCATCTGGCCGTACACCAAACGAGTTGTCTTCCCATTTCAAGCGGCTTTCAAGGGAAAATCTACCACGGGTGGTTTTTCCACTCAAGTGTGTGGGGGGCGTTGCAATCAGGCCCAGTTTCTGGCTATCAGACACGGGAAAATGAACACTGAACACTGCAGGAACACGGAAAAGATCAAAGCCACTAGTCAGAGAGGCAGATCAGACAAGCAAGACCACAGAGGCGCAGTATCAGTCCCTGGGGAGGACTCGTCAAGCGGGGAGGTTACCCCAACGCAGGCCAGCGGGAAGCACGGGTGATTAACATGCACAGATTAGCCGGGACCCACATGAGAAGCAAAGAGCTTGCTACACAACCCAGGCTCAGGAAAACATCACGGGCAGCATTCTCCCCGAGGGCCCTGCAGCCTGAGAGCCTCGCCCCTTACCTGACATGGACGTGGGACCCAAGACGCCGCGGTCCTCACTGATGCCCAGGAAAGGAGACACCACTTGCTTCACCAGTTCCTCCAGCTGCAAATAACCCTCACTGGGGCCTGTGGGCTCGTGAACACTCTGGAAATAAACATCCAAGAGAGACAAAGGTCAGTCAAAAGAGGCCAGGGCCAGCTTGGCACTCAGCGAGCAAATCCCGCCGGCCCTCCCGCTACATTCAGAGCCGTGCTACCTGCAGACAGCATCCTCATGGCTGGAATGAAGGAATCTGAGGCCCGAAGCCCCAGTCACAGTGATCAGAACTGTGCCCCGTGGCGGCTTCTCCCGTCGGGCTCCAGCCACTCGGGGCAGGCGGGACTGTCCTCACGCCAACTCCAGGGTTGAGGTCTGACGGGTCCCAACCACAGTGATCCCAGCCCACCCTCAGAGTGGCTGCTTCACACTTGGCATGCAGGCACTTCCCTAAGCACTTTACATGGACCAAAGCACGGAGGCCTCTCCACAGCCCAAGGAGCCCAGGTGCCCTCATCATCCCCCTTCTACAGATAAGAAAGTTAAGACCCAGAGGGCTCATGTAACTCAGGACTGGAATGCAGGCTGTTTCGGCTCTGAGCCCATCTTACTGCCACTTGTTAAGGAGGCTAGAAAAGAAAGGGGGACAGAATATGGAAAAATCCAGAACAGTAGAAGAGAGAGTCACTGTGGAGCTAGACATACATTTCGCCCCAAGATGAAGAGTTAGTTCAACAGCCCAACATGACAGGTGTCCTCGGGGCTAAGCCTGAGCAAACACCAACTAACACAAATGACAACGCTCAAACACCTTTAAAAAGGAGACCAAAAGTGACCCAGGTTCTCTAGAAGACCAGCAGACTCCTAGGGAATCCAATTTCTCGCTGGAAAGGACTTGAAGCCTTGCTCTGTGTTGAGGGGCTGCAGGGGCGCAGAGCTGTGCTCAGCCCAACAGGGTGTCCCACCAAATTCTCAAAGCGGAACAGAGGTTACATCACCTTCACTTAAAAAGTAGAAACTCCCCACTGTGCTGGAGTTGGGGGGACTGGAGGAAAACATGGTGGGGGAGGGAAGCGAGAAGGGCCCGTCACACAGGCCGGGGATGGCTGGGTGAGGCGGGGGCTCCCTTGTACCCAAGCTGACTTGGCCCCTTGTCAACGCCATCCCACAAAGACAGGGCTGGCTGGGGGCGGTGGAAGGGAGGGGTTTGGCTTAAGGAAACACAAAGGAGGCTGGGGAAGGGGGTTCTGGGGCAGAAGACTTGGGGTTGGGGCTGGGAAGGGGTCAGAGGGAAGGACATGCAGAATGAACAGGAGTGGGCCTCCGACCCACAGCATAGTACCGCAGTGAGGGCTGCCCGGGGGGAAGGCAGGAGGGTTTTTCCTGCCCCCTGGGCTCTGATACCTAGTCCTCAACCTGGGCTGAAGGACTGGACAATCTAGCAGTGGAAATAAAGGGGGAAAGCCCTGGGGGTGCTTCAGCCAGGAAGGGAATCCTCAAGGCTGCAGAAGGGAGAGGGGAGCCTTCCTCGGGCTCCCCGGAAACCACTCAGGCCTCAAGAGCAGGGCAGTTTCAGCCCCAAAACCACCTCAGCTGGTGTTCAGAGCTAAAGAAACTTTTTTTTTTTTAATTCAATATTTTCCTCCTTGATATTTCTTGTCTGCCTTCTCGCCCCAAGCCTTCCCCCCCACTCAACAGAGAGGGACAACAGAGAAAGAAGAAGAGGCAAGAGGTGGGGTGAAAATGGGTAACATGCGCATGCTTTGAAGCTGGATGGGTTTCTCCCAGGGCAGCGGCCGACAGACAACCTGACAGCCCTCAGCCTGGCTGCCGGACTGGCCACCTCTTTGCAAGGCTCAGGGCAAAATGAAAATGTGGGCGGGGTTCCCTTGTTCAAAGATTACTAAGCGACAGGAGAGAATAAACCAAGCACAGGACCCTGCTTGGCACGGGACCCTGGGTGACTGCACGGGGGCCCCTCAGAAGGCACTGTCCCAGGATGATCTCAGGATCTGGCTGCACCTGCCAGGAGGAACCAGATCTCTATGATGGTCAAAATCTCTGGCTCAGCCTCTCCCTGGGGCAGCCTGGGGACAGAAGCATACAACCCAGAACAGGGAACTTGGAGCCCCTTGCACATGTCGGGGAGGGAGGGGTTTGTTCGGGGACATTTTGGAAGAGCACCAAAAAAGGGAGACACGAAGGCCTGAGGAATGGCTCTTTTCGCTGTATGAGAGTCAAGCCAGGAGAAATCTGCCCCAGATCTCGTGGCACTGGGGCAAGTGAGGGCCTGGGGGGAGAAGGGAGCAATTCTAACTGGGGTCCTGATTTCCTGCAATGGACATGGTCCAGGGGCATTGAGATCCAGCAGCTGCGCCCTGCTACTCAAGAAGATAGATGTGGATGGGCCAAAAACCCCTATTCATCCCTGTCACATTCCCAGCTTTACGGCTCCCAGAGTAAGGAAGAACATGGGCCAGAACTCGCCCCACGAGACCCTCCAGGAAACAGCGCCAAATGCCCGCATGAAAGTGGACCATCTTAGAAGCTTATGCGATCTCTCCCAGGGCCCTGGGGCGCTGCAGGAGGGAGGCCGTGGTATCTGAGCAAGGCTGGCTGGGCAGGTAGAAAGAGCAAGGGCTGAGGAATGGGTGACAGACCCACTCTCTTACAAATTAGTATGTGACCTTAAGCTGCTTGGCCAACTCTTCTGAACCTCCACCTCCTCTGCGAAAATAGGACAACAGGGACTGTTCCCTTGCTCAACTTCCCAACCATCTGTCACAACCACAGAGCTTCTCTGACTGTACTTCTTTCCCTCTGCCAAGAAATAAATCCCTGCATGATGATCACCATCAGAGGACTGGAGGCCAGAGACCTGGGGTTGGTCCCACTCAGGCTCTTGCTAGCTGTGCCGTCACTCACTGGGCACATGTTTAGTTGACACCTACTGCGCGTCTACCATGCAATGGGTGCTGAAGGTACAAGAGGGAGGAGAACGTGGGCAGACCTGCCTTGACCGGAAGGGGGCTGTGGGTCCCAGGAGACCGTGTTCTCCTCAAAGGGAACCCAGGTGCGAAGACTGTGCTGCCCCAGGGAGAGGCAAAGGTGATCAGTGTGACCGGAGGCTCCAGGTGAGGCTGGGGAGGTGGGAGGACCGGAGGCCGGGGTACAGATCAGGCCATTCTCCTAAGATCACCGGGAACCCCATGGAGAGCAACGTGGGCTGGAGGCTACGGAGGATGAAGGAAGTGTCTCCTAGGGAAGCAGGCTAACCCCCCAGGGGCTGGCAAGGGGATGATGGCAGCCTTCTGCTATGGCTGTTGGGTTGTCCAACGTGGGAACATGGTGGATGTTTTTCATTAGCACAGACAGAGGCCTTCCTGGGCTACTATCAGCAGGCGGGGGCCCTCACCCCAATTCTCCCTCCAAGGAACAAAAACAAACAACACCAACAACAAAAGAATCAGCTCTCATCCTTAAAATATCATAAATGGAAATAAGAGGGAGAAAGCCCAACTTTTCTTTCCCAGTCTTCCCATCTGAACCCCAAAGGGGTCATTTTCTAGACTCCTCACTTGGGATGCAAGCTCTACTTCATGCTTCTCAGACACGAGCCCCCCCCCACACTTTCCGAACCCCCCTCCTTCTCCTTCCTGCCCGAAAAACACCTGACCTGGTTTTCCAGCCAATGAAGAGCACCCTTATCCTATTAGGTAACTCTTGCTCCTCTCAGACTTCAGGAAAGGCGGAGAAGGTCCAGAAGCATGGCCCAGCTCAGAGAGCCGGAAGAGAACAGCAGCTGGGGGAGGGGGAGACCAAGGCCCCAAGCCTGCTGGAGGGCAGTGGGGTCACCGCCAGCCTGAGCAAGGATGATACCGGCTGCCTTGGGGAACAGCTCAGACCCGATGCTGTGGGATCTGAACTTACTACAAAGGTGGAGGCACAGGAGCCCTCTTTTGGGGGTGTCCCTGGCCACATCTCTGTTTCATGGGAATTGTGCACCCCTATCCATAGGATTGGGCTCCCTGAGGCCATGATTATGGTACTTGACCCAAGGTCATGGCTGATTGGCAAAGGAGAGTCGTGTAGCCGGGGCTAGACCAACCCAACTCTTTCCCCTGAGTGTCCACAGCTCTGAATCCTACTACCACTTGCTGAGGGACCTTGGACAAACACACACTTCCTGGGTTTCCATTTCTTTGCCTGGAAAATGGGAATAACAACACTATCTACTTCACGAAGTGGTCATTTGGATGATCTGATTCAGAAAACACCACATAAAGTCCTCGGTCTGCACCAGGTACACAGCCAGGAACCGGTAGTGTTAGCTTGTCTTCCTACGGTTGATTCGGAATGGAGATGAAGAGGCGACCGTCTGGGTCACCACTTGGTGGAAACGCGTGAGCTGTGTGCGTGATGCCACGTTTGCTCAGGTGTGAACCACAGTACTGAGCACAAGTCTGCAGAGGGAGGGGGAAAGACAGAGACACCCAGTCCAAGAGACAGCGAGCAGGGCCAACAGAGGCGGCGTCAGAGAGAGACAAGGAAAGACCAGCAAGTGGCGACAGGCTGGCTGCTTTGGGGCCTGACATGGTCTCGCTTCTGGTTGTAGTCTCTTAGGATGCCCTCCTGCCCCGGGAACCTTCCAGTGAGCTCCTGGTCTGGCTCGAGCTCACCCGCAGGAGGCTCTTGTCGTCACGTGCTACTTGAGGCTCCCGGGTGAGGAGGGAGGGTGTCCGCTCCCTGAAGGACAGGACTGTGCCTCTCTCGCCCCCCCCACCCCCCATTGGGATCCCAGCATGCAGCACAGCGCCAGGGGCCTCGCAGGGGCTCGGTGGAGGTATAGCAAATGAACAAACGTACTAAGGAACAGGAACGACGACACTGAAGCATACTAGCTGAGCTAAGGTGCTCAGGTCCGTTTGGTCCCTCCCCCGTCCCACAGGGTCTCTTCCTCCCCCGGCCTGGTGGCCACGTCTCCAGTGGGGCCTCACCCACCTGCAGGATGAGCAACATCTGGACAATGGATGAGGGTGGCTGGGACTGGGCCAGCAGCAGCAAATCACCCAGCTTCACCTTCAGCAGGACCAGGTCGCGGAAGCCCAGCAGGGAGATCTGGCGGATGGTCAGCTCCTGGCCCTGGAGAGGAGAGAGGGGGCAGGGCCGGGAGGTGAGAGCCCGCTGGATATGCTGCCGGCCACACGGGGTCCAGGACAACCAGTGTGGACAGAACACCAGGATGGGACAGGACGAGGTCTCTGCAGGACTCGGGGTGGGCAGGGGCGCTGCCAAAGAGTCGAAGATTTGGCCCCAGTCCTTCCCAATGAAAGCTTCGTTTAAGATAAGGTGTGACTCAACCTGCCTAAGTGACTCAAGATGATACAAGACACATCAATGGGGGCCATGCTGTCATGAGGGCGGGGGGGGGGTGGTCAGGAAGGAAGAAGAGAGAGGAAGATGGGGGGAAATGAGAGAAAAGATCAACACCCCCGACCCCCATCCCCCACCCCCACTTTCAAGGCTGCTTCCTCAACCCTGTTCAGTATGTGAGCACCTAGCTCGCGCCAGGCCAAGAAGGAAAACACAGGGACAAGTCTGACCATGCACGGTGTGGGCGGAGGGTGAAAGGAACTCCTAATCCTAAGAGCTATACTTACTAAGCTCCAGGTGCTAGGCATGACTCTCAATATTTTCGATGGAACTAACACGATTAATCCCCACCCTTCGAGACAGGTACTGTTATTAAACCTACTTCACAGAGGAAACACCTAGAGCCCAGAGTTACGGTTCTATCCCCCAGGTAGAGCTGGGCCTCAAACCTTAACTATTTGATTTTAGGGCTCCCAAAGTTTCCCAAAGCAGAAAGAGAAAGGAGGCCCTCTCTCCTAGACTCTCCTTTGCACGTATACACACGACACACACCAAAAATGGGCTGCTCTTGGTGGAGCCAAAGAGATCATGAAGGTACCTGCCAAACGGGATGTCGCTTTTCATCCCTCACGTCTGCCAAGGCTTAAGGAAGTTTTACATTTCCTAGACGTCCTTAGGGTTTCACAGAAATGCAGTCAAGAGTGGTTTTGCCATCTCCGCATGCCCCTCTCCCTCCCCCCTCCCAGTCCCCAGAGATGCATACAACCGCCAACAGGCGCCTTCCAGGCTCGAGTCAACCACCCCCTTCCTCGACTGCCTTCCCGGCCCGACTCCAGTGGCAGCAGGCCCCCCTCCGCCAACCTTGCCTTTTCCAAGACGCTACAGTCCACAATGACCTCCGACCTCGTAGCTAGCTATGCCCTCATTTCATCTCCCAGGTCCCTTTCGCCTTCTAAGGTAGGAAAATGAAAGCAAGCTGCCGCCCCCTTGAACACAGTAGGTACTCAAAAACACATCTGTCCACCGAGGAAGTAGGGCTCACACAGACACCCATACAGACAGGGGGCTCTGAGGTGGACGGAGCTGGACTGACAGACACCTCGGTGTGTTACTACCGGTAGTGAGAACCCCTAACTCCGGGCTTCTCAAGGTGGGGTGTCTGGATCAGCAGCAGCACTTGGGAAACTGCGTGTGGGGAAGGGGGTGGATTGGGGCAATATCAACTATCACCGGAGCTTGCAATTCTTCAAGAGAGGCAGAATGCGTAACATCCTCAGACCCGCACAACTGGTTTCCTGCCTGGATATATGCCAATGAGGGCCCTTCTTGGCCATCCGATGACTGTACCAGGGCCATGCCCACTCAGATGCCACACTCCCATTCTAACCCATCTGGACACCCCCACGTTGGAATTCCATGCCCACGGGGCCCTAAGACAGAGACCCAGGTCTACACAGCCCCTCCAGTAGGGTTGCCAAATGAAACAGAGAATGTCCAGTTGAACGTGAATAATTTTTTAGTAGAAGTATGGTTCTAGATATTGCATTATTCATTGTTTATCTGAAATTCAAATTTAACCCAGCATTCTATAATTTTATTTGCTAACTCTGGCAACTCTACCTCCCATGTCTGTCTTCTTAGGACCCAGCACTGGCCTAGGAGTGACCATTACAGGGAGGGGAGACGTTTGTGGGTATGGGAGCTGAACTGACCCCAAAAATGCTGCAAACCCTCTCACGGTGGTAGAGGATGGGGCTAAGGATGGGATGAAGAGAGCAGTGAGCTGTAGGCCAGAGCTTCTACTGGAACTGTGAGGGGCAGGCCAGAAATGGGAAATGGACTCAGTAGGCGTAACCTCCCCATTTTTAGGTATTGATACATATTTAAAGGAATTCCAAGTTCCCATACAACACCATTCAGAGCAAATAAAGCCTGTGGGCCCTTGTGTCTGGCACACAGCATCGCTAAGGGCTGTGCTGTTGCTGGGCCCCACACCCGCACTTCAACAAAGCCCCATTAGATATGCGCCTTCACCCCAGTGGATGGAGCGGGGGTGGGGTAAGTGGAGGATGGAGATGTGAATCTTGGAGAGGAAGATCTATCGGTCAACCTGCCTGCAGGGGTGTCCATTCTGACCTGGCAGTGACCAGTCCTGCTATTAGCCTCTGCAGGAAGGTAGAAGGAAAGCAACTCAAGTGTTAGAATAAGCTCTGATCACAGAATAAGAATACTAAGGAGATGCTGCTCATTTTTTGCTCGAAAGCCCACATTTTGCAGATGAAACATTTCAGAGAAGTGAAATGAGTTTGCCTAAGCCCAACGGCTGATGGAGTCCAGTGTTCTTTCTGCTCCCTCACGTGGCTACTTGTCTTCAGGCATCCCTCACAGAAGGCAAGAGACATGATTCCCTTCCCACAATTTGGGACAACAGGAATCTTGCTTTAAAATCGGGCTTCCAAGAAAGGGAGGGGGAAGAAAAAGAGGAAACAAAAGTCTCCCTGCCCCATCTTCTCTACTTCTGAAAACGGGAGAAACAAACCACGCCAAGAATATACAGGAATACTCAAAACCAAGAGGGTGACAAGAGCCTACAAATTGCTAGTTATGCAGGCACTCTCTCTTGGCTTGAGGTTAGATGCTAAACATAGACCAGAGAGCCCTCCAAAGAGCGCTGTGGTCCTTAGCCAACTCAGGCGCCCAATGTCCTGCCTCTCCCCCCTTCACCAGGAGGTCCCAGCTGGCCAAAGGCCAAGGAAGGAGACAGAGTGCCGAGGCCGGCAGGAGGTCGTTCCTCAGTGAGACTGACCTGAACTGGATAAAATATTGCCTGCAGGGTGGGGAGAGTCTCAGTGAAGAAGTGGTCCCACACTTCAGCCAGAACCTCAATGCGATTTTCACCTACACGAGGACGAGAAGATGGGAGGGGAGGAAGAAAGAAAAGAATTTGTCATTACTTGCAGGAGAGGCTAGAGACAGTCCCAGGTCAAATGCAGCATGGAGACAGGGGGACAGGGGAAGAAGCTCATGACCTACGTTTGCTCTTGGAGGCATTACTACAAGTCAATGTGCGATTGGATGGGAAGACTTAATCAAAAATAGGCAAATATGCCTTCTATCCCCCACTCCAGAAACAGGAGCTGAAGTTTGGAAATGACATGACAATGGGTGCCATCACAAGAATGGTTACAACATTCTCAGGCACTGTGCTAAACTACTTATCTACAGGCCGTTTCATGAGTAAACTCTACGACCTCATTTTACAGGCTCAGAGAGGCTGAGGGTCTAGCTCAACGTCACACAGCTAGAAGGCAGAGCTGGAATTCCAGAACCCATGCTCTTGACAGATTTAATCTGGGAGGATCACGTGCACAGTTATTGTTTTGATTTTCTAATCATGACAACACTGCTTTTTTGTTTTGTTTTTGTTTCATTCTGGATTCGAGCTGTCAGTACAGGGAGGGGGAAAGAAGGGCCTAGAGACTGTCACTTCCACCCCCACTGGTTTGCAATAACCAGAGGCCGGGTGGCGGGTGGGAGGTGGACAGCATGCTCTGCAGTGGTCACCTGCAAAACACAGGACCCACCTCCCATGCTGTGCCTACTCTCACCCCTGGGACCCAGAAGGCTGACCCCAGGCTGCCTGTACATGGGGCACCCAATGCCACCGGAAGGCTGCGCCAGGAACTCTGCACCTGCAGGAAGGCGGGCACGGGCAGGGAGGGACCCCCACGGTGCCTGCATGTTAATGACCTAGGTGACACAACTGACTGAGTACTGTCTTTGCTCATCTGAGGCAGAGAAACTGGGTCAGCCAAGATTAGACACTGAGAGATACGTCTGGCAAAACACTGCCAGTTCACTGAGCAGATCTTGAAAGATTCATTTAGCATCTTCCGCCTATTAATTTAATGGACAATAAAAGCAGTGGCTGCGAGAGAGCGAGCAGAGCACGGACGTGACGAGCAGCGAGCAGGGCCGAAGACGTGCAGATTTTGAAAGGTCAGAGAGAAACACACTAGGGGAAAACGCAAAACCATAGCACCCTCTCATTTCCCTCCCGGAGTGCTAATTACACTCGGCTGGAATCACTTACTGACTTCTCTTGTCTCCTCCACTAGAACGGGAGTAAGCACGTAAGCCCTGTCTGTCCTGCTCACCGTTATTATTTCTAGTGCTTAGCACGAGGCCAGACAGATCAATAAATCCATTTTTAGAAATCTTTGAGTGAATGAATGGCAAGTATCAAGTGTGCAGGTTTTCACAGATGCTAAGGCCGGTGAGTGGAAGGAAGTTACCGTTTAATCCAAATATGGGACAGGACAGAACAGGACTTAATAATTAGCTCCAACATTTTCCTTTGCTCTTAGATCAAGAAAACCTCCACAATATAGGCACTCTGGTTGCCGGGGGCGGGGGGGGGTCTGTTTCCTTCTTCTGTAACCTTACCCTTGTACTTGACCTTTCCCTTCAACCTTTGGGCCCCAACTATGTGGATTTTACCTCAGCCCCTCATGTTCACCATGATCCTTCACACCACAGGGCTTTTGCATGTGCTAGTCCCTTTGCCTAGACTGTTCTTTCCCCCTCTCTCTGCCTAACTTACATCTGTCTGTCCTTCTAGTTTTAGCTCCAGCACCACCTCTATAGCAAAGTCTCCCCACCGGTCAAACGCCGCTTCTACGGATTGTAGCCTTAATACCTGTTGCAATTACAGTTTTATATTTGATGATGATTTGATTAATATCTATCTCCACCAGTGGCTGTGAGCTCCACGAGGGCCTGGGAATCCTAGGATGGCTTTGTTCACCACTGTGTCCCCAGCACCTAGCAAAGCACCTGGTACATAGTTGACCACCAATCAATGTCTGAATGTACAAGTCTTTTCAAATGCAGGCTATGCTAGTTCACGGCAGGGAGGAGCCAGGGAGGTCAGAAGGAACATCTGAAACGTTAGCTCTCATCCTGGTACCCAAAACCCAGGTGACCCCAGCAGCTGGATAACGTCCTTCACAGAAGAAAGGGCTCTTCCAGCTCCTTTACTGATGGCCTGTATCCTAAGCCTTCCACGAGGAAGACAAGCAGAGGCCTTCCCGACATGGAAGAAAGGAAGGAGACTCGTGCAGGTCAGTGCTTATTCCCCTCCGCCGCCAACGGAACGCTCGTCGGCACATGAGGTAATCCTTCGACCCAGCAGCGGGAAGGCACCTCTCCTGGGAACCTGTGTCTAATTGCTGGCTTCACACTTCACAGAGTAATGGATGTTTTGGAAAGCGTTCAGAGGAGAACATCAGACAGACACAGGCTAACAAAACAGGGGAGCCCCGGGGAAGAGAGAGTTACAGGGACGTGACTTCACCTTCAGAAAACAGCCCAGAGGACTTCACTCCCTGCCAAGATGAAGGGCAGCTGGATGGAAGGGTCTAGATGAACACCCTACAGAAACTGTCCTCTTAATGTGCCACGGGAGTTTAGATCACCGCATGTCTATAGAAGGGGAATGAGAAGCTCCTCAGGGTCAAGGTTGTTAAAGCTCTGGGAAATTAGAATTATCATGGAATTATCACTGGAATTATCATGACCGATCCTGCCCGCAGAAGAGCAGCACCTGGGGAAGAGCTGTGGGGGCTGGGTCTGCGGCCGGGAGGCGGGGTGCCCGTGCATAAACACTGAGGTCCTTTCGGTGAAAGGATGGATCCTGTCCGTGGCTCCCGAACTATGTGTTAGAGCAAGAGGATCCTTTTAGCCAAATAAAATCTCTCTTGGAGCTGTAGTACATAACATAAAAAGTGGGGATGTCTGGAAGACAGGAAAGGCCCTTACAGGTTTTCCACGGGCCCCTTTGCTGAGCAGAAGGGCCGCTCAGACACCAGGACGAGAGTGGACCCCAGGGAGAACACCCAGTCCGGTGCCCCGTAGCGCACTTTGGGGGCTGAGCAGAGAACCTCGGAGGACCTTCGTTTGCCCGGGTTAGCGTAGCTCATTTCCTGAGCTTTCACTCCAGAGTATTTATGTCGAGGGTCACTCGAATGAGAGGCACTGAACCTCCCCCTGAAAGCACTTAAATCTCTGGTTTTGCTCGGTATCTTTTTCATGAAGCTGGTTTTCCATGTTTCCAGGAGCTTGTGATAACTCCCCAGATGACTTCCAGGCAAATACCATGGTCACAGACTGTGCTTCTCTTCCCTCCCTTTCTGAGGCTGTCACCTTCCACGCTTGTGTAGTGGCCTGACCCCAACATGCAAAAGGGGCACAAACTTCTTGTCAAAGCCAGTTCACTCAAAAATAAGGCCCTGGGGGGCACCTGGGTGGCTCCGTGGGTTGAGTGTCTGACTCTTGATTTCAGCTCAGGTCATGATCTCGGGGTTGTGAGATCGAGCCCCGCATCAAGCTTGGCACTGGGCATGGAGCCTGCTTAGGATTCTCTCTCTCCCTCTCCCTCTGCCCCTCCTTCCTGCTTGCATGCACGCACGCACGCGTGCTCGCTCTCAAAAAATAAAAATAAATAAGGCCTTAGGCTAGGGGGCATTTATAAGGTTAAAAAAGCCTGAATGCAGTTGTACTGAGGGAAAACAAGGTTACAGGCTCAGTCAGCTCTCAGATATACAGAAGTTAGCTTCTAGCCTCTATTCCTCCAAAGGTCTGCCGAGCTCTTACTGTGCGCCAGGTACCAGACCCTTCCAGCACCAGTTCTCATTTGTCTCCTATTTCGTCTTTAAACGACACTGGCCAAGAGTGTCTTTCCCGGGGTGGCGGGGGGGGGGGGTGTGCGGGGGAAGGCACGCTCTCCTGCCTGCCATGTCTGTGTCTAGTAGTAAATCTGTAGTAGTAAATTTGACCTCCAGGTAGAAGTTTCTAAACTAGAGTAGGGAAAAAAAAAAAGAAGGAATCAGTCTGTGGAACTACTGCATGCCGGATAATGGTGCTATGCCAATTACGCTCCCTATACTCCCTTTTAAACTCATATCATTTTAAAAATGATAGGGGAAAAAAAAAAAAACCAAGAAACTAGAAACGTGCCAAAAGTCACCCAAGCAATAGGTGGTAAGCTAAGATCAGGATCCACCTTGGTGGCAGCTGAGAGTAGCCCTTGGTAGAGTCATGGGGTTGGCCAATTCTTGCCTTGGTCCCTTCTCCATTTGGTGCCTTTCCATCCTGTCCCGTGGGCTCTAAAACATTTTAAGGTCAGGAAATCTTCCTTTGCCCATCAAATCATATCTCACTCAGCAGGTACCTGCTTAGTATAATGTCCCCCAAATGGGTAGAGCACTCCTGTCATACAGGACCTCGAGAAATATGAAAAAGGCCAATTAGGAATAGCCTGGATCAGACCCGAGAGAATGGCATGACAGGATCTGTAGTATAATTGATCCCTTCACAGGAGACCACCAGCACGCATCCTGCGAGAACCCTCAACAAGGTCTCTGAGAAGACCACCCCGATTCTACCTGAATTCTCAAAATACAGATCTGACACGCACCACCACGAGTGGCCAGCTCCAAGGGAAGTGCTGCCGCCTAGCTGGAGGAGAAACGGGCGGGGTGACTCACTCACTTGGAGCCCGCCACTTTTGGACAGAAGCATTTCAGCTGTCCAAACATCAGAGGCTGAGTCACAGAGCCCGCTGTACGAGTGCGCCTTGTACTTGCCTTCACACAGCTTAATCTTCTCCTCCACAAACAACAGGCCTTTTGCAAGAAGCTGGTTCTGTCAAGAGAGAACAAAGAACACAAGGGTTGGGCCACTTCAGAGAGTGACAAAACCTTCTTCCACTTCCCATGGCTGACGGAGCGGGGTTCTAGACACTTGTAGGCTAGTCATGCCTCCAAGTCTGAGGAGACTTTTGTCCTCTTGGAGGATCAGGCTTGGGGAGAAGTCAGCAAAAGAGGGAGACAAGAGCCAAACCCAACCGCTATCCCATCCCTTCAAGCAGAAGGAGGCATGCCTCACTCTTGGCTGGCTCCTATGGCAGGCCTAGGGTTGACACGCAATGTCCTTCAAGCCCTTAATCTAAACTCAGAAGAGGGAGCACTGAGGTAATGGGAAATTAGGCAGAAATAGTATTTTTTTAAAAAAGATAAATTTAGGGTTTCTCATGCTAACGTGCAAGAGACTATGCGTAAAACTTTAAGAAGCCGTGGGTATGTGTCCGTCAGTGAGCATGTGTGTGGAAAGTTGTGGAAAGAGAGAAAAAGGTTAAGTCCTTTGGCAATTGCACCTAACAACTGTTGAGTGTTCTGTGTGTGTCAGAGGCTTTATTTCCTTCATTTCACCTAATTCCAACCCTCCCGATAGTCCCCTCCGGTTGGTGCCACTACCCTTACTTGACTGATGGTCAGGGAAGACACTGCCTACAGGAGACAGAGCAGGTCTTCCTGCAGCCAGAAGCCATGTTCTCTCCGCTCCGCTTTGCTGCCTTCCAGCAAGTCTTCCCACCCAGACCCCTTCCTTCCCTTGAAGGGCTACAGCGGGTCCCGTAAGAAGCAGCGCAGCCTCTCCAGAGGTCACAGAAGCTCCAAGAGCAAGGATGTGCTGCTACGCCTCCACCTCGCCTCACAATATCAGATTATCAAAGGCCTGTGCTTATGGGGTAGGGGGCCCACGGGGATATGTATCCTACACGAAAAACCTAAGGCATTTCTTAGTATTCTCCTTTACAAAACCCTACAACCCTGTTGCAACGATGATAAGAGCATGCACAGCAGAGTGGAAAAAACTTGGGTATCAGACGGGTTCAAGTCCCAGCTCGGCCACATTCTAGCTGTGTGATCTTGGCCTTACTTTCCCTGATTCTTGAGTTCCTCATCTGTAAAATGGACCATACCAGCAATATCATAGAGTTCATGTAAGAATTAGTCATTGTAAATACACACACACACACACGGTATTTTATGTCCTTAGTACTCAGTGGCGATGGGCAGTGATGATCATAGCTGCTCGCTCATCTATCTTCACAAAAGGAGTGGGAGGTAGAGAGAGTCTGTAACAAATGAGCCTACATCAAATATATTAAAATATTTTAACAAAAGAACTACCACATTTCTGTGACACATACAGATGAACCAAATTTCACAGAACCTATTAAAACTCACAAGAGGGCGCCTGGGTGGCTCAGTTGGTTAAGCGACTGCCTTCGGCTCAGGTCGTGATCCTGGAGTCCCGGGATCGAGTCCCGCATCGGGCTCCCTGCTCGGCAGGGAGTCTGCTTCTCCCTCTGACCCTCCCCCCTCTCATGTGCTCTCTGTCTCTCATTCTCTCTCTCTCAAATAAATAAATAAAATCTTTAAAAAAAAAAAAAACAAAACTCACAAGATAGGGGCGCCTGGGTGGCTCAGTCGTTAAGCGTCTACCTTCAGCTCAGGTCATGATCCCAGGGCCCTGGGATCGAGCCCTGCATCGGGCTCCCTGCTCAGCGGGGAGTCTGCTTCTCCCTCTACCCTTTCCTCCTGCTCATGCTTTCTCTCTCGCAAATAAATAAATAAAACCTTAAAAAAAAAAAAAAAAAAAAACCTCACAAGATATGACCTAACTTCGAAAAGTAGTCGGCCACTGTTTAGCTTCAAGATGGAACCCCAAATCCAAGTTAGAGTGACATCTCATGGGAGAACACCAACTCTGTTAAAGGAAGAAAAAAATCAATTCCTTTACAAAGAACCGGAACAAACAGGTAATTAAGGTGAAACCCCAACTGCGTCCTCTCCCTTCCAGCCTAGCAAACGAATCCCAGCAGCTTCTGGGTCAGAAAGCAAGCAACCATCATGGCACCCAATTTAGACTCTCAGAAGCAAGGCTTTGCGGCAGCTGAGCCAGATGGGAAAGATTACAGAGGTGCTTCCACGTGGCAGTCACTCTATCGGCATGTTTCTGAACAACTGGGGCCTTAGGTCCCTGCGTGGGTCCCTTACTGCCCCCCCCCCCGCCACCGGTGAGGTTCTCAGAACATCCCTGGGTGCTCTGTGGGAGGGCTCCTGATGCCATGGCTCTCTGTCACCACTTCTAATACCACACGGGTGTCCCAGGCTTCTTCCAAAACAGCTTCACGACCCTCCGAAAGCTCATGTCTCTGCGATGCACCTGCAAATGTGATCAAGCCTCCCTCTTAATGCAACTTTCCTGAGTGTGTTCCATCACTGCGGTTATCTACACTTCCAATGGCGGGGCTGGGGGAGAACCAGAAGTTTACTGGGAGATGGAGAGAGAAAATGCACTGGGTCTGCATGTGCTAGGTCCAGGTCAGATCCTGAGTTAATCAAAGAAATGAATTCAAACCCTATATCCTATGTGTTAGGTCCTTAGGGGGTAAGGACCATTTCTTAGTTTAGTGCCCGAGGCTCTGAGAACAGTGCCCCAAACACGGCAGATGCTAATAAACATTTGCTGAGAGTGTATGTTGCCTGTTTTGGTGCTAAAGACCATTTTGAACTTTTAAGACATCAAGACAAGAGACAGAATGTGTATAAGATGGGAGAAAGAGAAAAACAGCACCACTAAATTTGTTGACATTTCTTCACTCGGTAAAAATCACTTTGTCTGGATCTTAAAGGATAAACTTTAAGAGATGGCCCGGGTTCTCCTTCCTTCTCTCTCCTAGATCTTCCCCCTTCAAGGAGACATTTGGAAAAAAAAAAACAAAACATTTTGTTCTTTTTTAAGAAAAATAAATTACTTGTGGATTAGAGAGAAATGGAAAAGAAAATATTCTTTTTAAAATTCTCAGGATACACAGCATGGCAATCCTTAACTTAGACCAAATAAGAGCAACAAAAACTTGGGCTCAGGAAGGGACCGAAGGGAGCATCTAGCCATGCTGCCATCTCCCCAGCCCTGCGGTCAAAATCCACTGGTCACACACAGTTTTGATGGTATTTGGGTGGCCTCCTTTTCCAGGAAATGAGTCTCTAGATTTTATTTGGCACGTGTGCACAGAAGAAGGACCTTTGGGGCCAGCCTAGCCCACAGCTCCCCCATCCCTTCTGGAGAAGCACCTGTCATCCACTTAATGGACCTCTGCCCCACTGTGCAAGCTCAAACCCCTTGACCCCAGGCTGCACTGTCGGCTTAGCCGACTGGCCTGGTTCCGACCCCACCCCCGACCCAGGCCCCAAACTGAGCCAATGGTCTTCTCTCCTGGGAATCTGCAGTCAGGCAGGACCCTGCGGAGGTTAGGGTCCTGTGTGACTGCAGGCTTCGTGGTCTGAAGGGCCTCCCACTTGGGCTTAATGCTCTGCAGTTACTGTTTCAATTCTTATTATTTTTATCTTTGAACTTGTGTTATGTAAGTGAAATTGGGGCCATGGAGGACGTACCAAGTGCTTGGGGTCTCAGCTCCCTTGTGGTCCTGCCTCCTACCACCTCCCCAGGAGGGGTATTCCACACTTGCTCCCCACCCCCTGGTGGCTGGCCCCACTGCAGGGTCTCCCTCACGCTGCCCACCTCCCACTATCCTCCTATTCCCCAGATGGTGAAAAGGGTCCTGTCGGTGGGGGCCCAGGCACAGGTACAGGGAGGGTAAGGTTGGGTGCATGCCCTGCAGCATCCCGGGGAGGGGCCTGGTGGCAGCCCACCCCGCCCAGCTGCCAGAGGGGTGGCTCAAGTGCTGGTGGCTCAGAGGGGGGCTCTTGGCCACCCCTGATCTGTGTACTGAGGGTGCAAAGGTTACAATCTCTTGGGGGTCGCCTGTCCACCATGGGTTGCAGCTGCAGGCCCACAGGAAGGGGAGACTGATTTCCCCACCCTGGTCATGGCCAAATTTTTATTTTGCACTGGGCCCTATAAATTATGAAGCCCGCCTTGTCGGCTGGTCACTTCACCTAAGGATGTGCCTCCTGGACATCTGTGGAGCTTAAGGCTGCGGAGACCTAAAAGAGGCAGGGAGGAAAAAAAAAAAAGGAGAGAGAAGAACCACCCTTGAATCGGGCATCCATCATGCGTGGTCCTTCTAGGCACCTGTTCTCCCTAGAACTCACGGCACAGCATTCCCAGCCCTTGACAAGTGCCTGACTCCGGAAGGTCCCGAGTACCTGCTCGCTGTGGGCAGTGGTGATGGAGCCTTGGGGGGCCAGAGCTGGAAAGAACCTGACTTTTCTCTGGTCCCACTCCCTGCCCCATGGCAGCAGCCACCGCCCCCCGCCACCTCCCCAGGCCTAAGGCTTCAAGCTAAAAAAACACTTACATGAAATAGCAGCTCCTAGGAAATGATTTGGGACTTGGAATGAGGCCCGTGGTTACTTAGTGCCTCGCCCCCACCCCGGAAATGAACTTAGCGGTGGAATACACAGCATTTCAATGAAGGGGCAGAGGAGCCTAGACGTGAGAAACAGCTGACACGTCTATTTTTTCTAAGACATCCCCAAAACAGGCTGCCCATAGAAAAGTGAGGTTCAGCTAGGAAAAATGCAAAACACAAGGCTGTCTGGGGAAAGGCACCCAAACCACCCAACCTTGACCGGGCAGGACAGATTCAGCTCATCCCACTGAGGTGATCACGGGAAGTCAGGCAGGAAGAGGCAGGGGAGGTGAGGAGAAGGTGGGCTCGTCACCAGTATGCACCTCCTGTCAGGCAGGCAGCTCCCCGCCCCCACCGGAGGGACTCAGGAAAACAGGGAACCCATTAGGCTTGGGGGTGGGGAGAAGGACAAGGACCCCCATCTTCCCAGGGGAAAGAACTTTCCATACAGCAGGAATTCTGTAAATGTTAAGGCCACTGG